GCTCGAGCCTCTAGCAGGGGCCCCCAGTCAGCCCCCGTCACTGTGCTGGTGACCGTGGGCAGCTCGAGCCTCTAGCAGGGGCTCCCAGTCAGCTCCCGTCACTGTGCCGATGACCGTGGGCAGCTTGAGCCTCTAGCAGGGGCCCCAAGTCAGCCCCCGTCACTGTGCTGATGACCGTGGGCAGCTTGAGCCTCTAGCAGGGGCCCCCAGTCAGCCCCCATCTCTGTGCTGGTGACTGTAGGCAGCTCGAGCGTCTAGCAGGGGCTCCCAGTCAGCCCCCGTCACTGTCCTGGTGACCGTGGGCAGCTCGAGCGTCTAGCAGGGGCTCCCAGTCAGCCCCCGTCACTGTGCTGGTGACTGTAGGCAGCTCGAGCTTCTTCTCTGTCCCCAGTGTCCTCACCAGCAAACTGGCCTTTTGCATATTGTAGGATTATTCTGAGGATCAAGTGAGATACCTTGAAAGGAATTTGTAAACTGAAAATTACTCTACAAATATAGAGTAGCAATCCTCATTACGTCATCACTGTTGCACAACGTTAAGACATTTTCTACACTTACTGAAATGTTTTTGTGCAAATGCTAAAGATACTAAGATTCTATGAACTCAAAGTAGTCCAAAATGAGGGCCTTTAATGTTACCTAGTTTTAAATCAAATTGTAAGTTAAAAATCCTAACCCTGAGTTATTTTATACTTTTTGGGAAAATTTGCCTAGTTTGTCTGGTCTCATGTGGTTGTCACCAGGGAAATTGTTCCCTTTTGCCATACGCCATGGCTTCAGCTTAGAAATTTTGAATTATATGTTATTCACCAGCACAGAGTTTACTTAAATATGTATTTTCATTGACTGGAAAAAGTTGCACTGAATTTGCATGAACCTAACGGGAAGGCATAGCTCTGTGCTTGTCCTGGGATTATATACGATGCCTGGGGTTCAGACCTGCAGACTCTGCCTTCAGTTCAGAGAAAAAAGTCAGCACAGCTTACTTAACTCAGAAGTTCTGCTCGTAACACAAGCCCACGGATCTGGGAGACAGGGTTTTATTAGCGCTTCAGTGTTTCCATTTGGAGATGAGAATAATGCTGTCCTCCTTTTAGTGCAGAAACGTTTTTAGCAAAAATAAAATAACACATAGAGAAGCTGATGGATATTAAATTCTATCAGAGAACCGGTGTAGACCAACATAGTCTGGTTTCTTGTGTATTGTCATAAGGAATGATTATAGGCCCCTACCATGGCTTTGCAAGAAATACAGAGCCAAACATTCTATTTGCAGATTCAACCAGTGAGTTTTAGCATAGACTATTGGTTCATCCTATAACATGAATTGAAGTCATTCATGTACCCTTAATAAAAATTAAATAAATAAGAAATAAACACATGGAGAAATAGTCATCCTCTCTAATTATCAAAGAATTAAGAAGTGTTCAAAATATCATTTTATCCTTACTGAATTAGCAAGAAAACAAGCCAACAAACTAAAAAGTCCTTGATCAGGACGTGGTCTGCTCTGGCCGTGGCAATGACCAAGCAGTTGGTGGCTGAGTCGGCGCCTCCCTTACTGCAAACCATTTTGTAACCTGTATCAAGGACCAAGGCTGAAGACCAGAGAAGAGCTGACTGTTCTCTTCAGTAAGTCATCATCATGAGAAAGAGACTGCTTCAGATTTTTAAAAATTTAAGAAACATATCCAATGGATGGAATGGATGATTCTGGCCAGGGAACTAGCACGGGGACAAGCCAACTGCAAAGGATGTTAAGGAGATACTTCGGGGAATCTGAGTATGGAATGAGCACTGGATAATATTAAGGATTGCTATTAATTTTCTTGGCTATGATAATGTTATTGTGGCAGCACAGAAAAATGTTCTTATTCTTCACGCTTACCTCCTGAAGTATTTAGGAATGGAATCCCGTGATGACTGTGATTTACTTTAAAATACTTTGGCATTTAAAAATGCATTGAAAATCAAAGTATATGATTTACTTAGAAACTCTACTCCAAAGAATTTTCCCTTATGAATTAATAGGAGAGAAAACAATGATTAAAGATATATAAAGATCATTATACATAACAGCAAACTGGAGTGGCCAGCAGCAGAAGGAAATTAGATTAATTAATTTAAAATGGACTCAGCAAAGTATCAGCCAGTCACTTAAAAAGATAATTAGGAGAACTATGACAAACTTAGAAAATTGCTTGTGCTACAATACTAATTTTAAAAATCAATATAAAATTGTGGGTGTTATTTGCATGTGTGTACATAGGGAAGGTTGTGCTATGGTGGTGGGATTATAGGCATTTTATTTTCAGTTGTTTTTGAATGTTGTCGTGCCTTTCAATGGAAACTATTTAAATACGAGAAAGCAAAGATAGAGAAGACTAGTGGAGGTTGAATTTGATTGTACAGATTCACTGTCTCGAAGAGCAATCCAGAACCACTCAGAGTCTGATCCTTCCTTCCTCAGGGCATTCTGGCATCCCCGGAGAGAGGGGCTGGCCTGGTGTTCCAGGGCCCACAGGACCACCCGGAAGGTCAGGACTGCCTGGCTCCTCTGGACCACCCGAGTGTCCAGGTACCTGGAGAGGAAGTCTGGAAACTTCCCGAGTGCTCTGCTCCTCTATCTCTTGGTGTATCTGAACCAGTCTTTCCTTAGATCTAGGTTCAGATGTGGCTCTGTCACTTCCCGGACCTGTGACATTGGACAAGCCACTTGAACTTACCTATGTTTCACCATGAAGCTAGTCCTGTCTCTCTGGGTGTCACTAAGTGACTGGGACAGACTGAGAAAGCACCTGTCCAGAGCCTCAGTGGCACCAGGTGGAAAGTGGTGGTCTGAATGGTGCAGCTCCTTTCTAGCCCTTTCTGTGTCACCTGCCATTCAGGATGCTGGATTTTTTCCTCCTTTAGACCTAAAACAGTTGCAACACTTACAGCACAGTAGTCAAAGGGATCCCTTCCCTGCTGGTTCAGAACTAAGGGGAAAGTTTTACAGAACAATGGGGAGTATCATTCATTCAGAAGCTCATCTTTCCTCCTGAAGTTAAATCTATTTCTCTCCCTAGAGTTAAGAGGTGTGGAAAGGAAAAGTAACTAAGCCGTGTTCCCAGTAACCCGTATGTATTAAGAACATGGACCCTGGCTGGGAGCAGTGGCTCACGCCTGTAATCCAGCACTCTGTGTGGCCATGGCAGGTGAATCGCTTGAGCTCAGGAGTTTGAAACCCACCTGAACAAGAGCAAGACCCTGTCTCTACTAAAAATACAAAAACTGGCTGGACATAGTGGTGGGTGCCTATAGTCCCAGCTACTTGGAAGGCTGAGACAAGAGGATCTCTTGAGCCCAGGAGTTTGAGGTTGCTGTGAGCTATGATGACACCATGGCACTCTGCCCAGAGTGACAGTCAACTGTCTTGTCTTTCCCAGTGAATGTGAGTCATTTAACATCTTGGTGTCTGAAATACCTCTCTGTTGTCCTCAGGTGATCGGGGGATGCCTGGGATGAAGGGACATCCAGGAGAAATGGGAGACCCTGGGTCAAAAGGCCTCCGGGGGGACCCAGGGATACCAGGTCCTCCAGGAGTAAAAGGTAAGTCAAAAGGAAGCTCATGCCATCAGCAGGTCCGGCACAACAAGGGTACGTTTATGCACTTTCTTACACCCCCAGGTGACCCTGCTCTGGGCTGTGCCACACTTTCCCAGGGCTGCCATTAGTCTCTTCCTGCTCTTCCTTACCAGGGCTGCAGCCATGGGTGACTTTCCAGCCTCCTAATCTGCCTTCTACTGGGTGGTGTCCAAAATGGTGGAGTTCCTCTCTAATTTCTGAGGGCATTTATCCAGCATTTTCTGTGATATTCAGGCCTATTTATTTATTCCCTCCATGAATGGTTAAGCTTCCTCTTATGTTCCAGAGCCAGTGTTAGATGCTGAGGGCAAAGTTTTAAAGAAACTAGATTTGCTTCTTGCCCTCAGGGAGCTCACCATCTACTCGGAGAGACAGACATAAAAAATATATATATATAGAAATAAGTATAAGTAAATTAAAAAAAAACTATAGAAATAAATATAAATAAATTATCTACATATATATAGAAATAAGTATCTATTTACCAGTGTGATAAGTGGTGATTTATTTATATAAATAATATATATATATATAGAAATAAGTATCTATTTACAAGTGTGATAAGTGGTGATTTATTTATATAAATAATATATATATATAGAAATAAATATCTACCACTGTGATAAGTGGTGATTTATTTCTATATAAATGTATAGAAATAAGTATCTATTTACCAGTGTGTTAAGTGGAAGAAAGGTAAAGGAAAGAGTGATTAGTATTCATTATCTTTCTTAGATAAAGAATAACTTATTTTTCTGGTTGACTTTCTTGGCCTTTAAGGGTACTGGTTGGGTTATAAGTCTGGTTATAACATAATATCATATGATCTGTGCTATTAGCAAATCTTCATTTGCTAATGAAGCAAATGGGAATCATACCATTGAGTACTTGGACCAATTTGAGGAATCTTTGAGTTATTTATCAACCGCAACAGAAAATGAAACGGGAGCGAATCTCCTCCCATTCATTTGCAGGATGTGTGTCCTTATCCCTCTTCACTCCACTTCTTCCATTAAAGAAAAAGCCCTTTTCCATGGGTACTTCATGCACGAATCTTGCATAAGCCTTATACTGCATCACATTTGTTTGCTTAGAGGTCTTTCTTACCAAATAGAGTATCATTTTTTAAAAAGCAAAGACCTTTTGAACATCCTTAGCACCCAGCTGATACCCCAAAACTATTTTGGTTGATGGTATGAATAAATTAATAAATGAAAGAATGTACAAACAGCAGTGTGAACAACTGAGCTAGTCACTGAGTGACAGCACAGCTAGTCGCTGTGAGGTCGGGACCTCAACCAACAGTTGACTGCTCAAGCCTTACTTGGCCAAGTCCTGTAACCAAGTTCGCTCTCTTCTTTCCTCCCTTCTCCTTTATTCAACTGACTCGTACATCTAGTCAATTTCAGCAACATGAAAAGTACCTCATCTGATAAGAGTTGAAAACAACTTCTGGGATTAATCATTTTGTTTTGAACATTCAAATGCAATTTTTTCCACACTTTCTCCTCTTCACTCATCAGAAAGCTTGGAAACAAGTCCAGTTGTGGTGTGGGGTTTATCACTTTGTGTGACTCTCCGGGGAAAGCTGCTCCTCTGAAGAGTTGGCACACACTGTATTTTCACAGTCAGATAACTGGGTGGGGAAAGCCCCCAAGATGAGATGAGATCACTTTGTGCTATTCTCCGACTTCACTGACATTTTAGTAATGTGAAGTCCCGTGATGCAGGATAAATTAGGAGTTTCAGGAAAAACCTTCATTCTGTTATTTTAAGTGTCTCTGCTGATGGTGACCATACCTGACCACTACCTGTCTCTGACAACCTCTACTGCCCTCATGGAGCAGTCTTTGCCAGTTTTTGGTCTCTGGGTGACAAAATTGGTCAAGAATCAAAAGAAAACATCTGCGGTTATTAACTACTCCTGCTTCACTTCTACTTCTTCCCACCCCCCTCCCAGTTTAGCAAAACAGCAGGGATTCTGAAGCGTGTCAGTGCCATAACAGTAGACACCCAGTCCAAGCGAAATGACCAGCTCATGCTTCTCTCCCTGGGATTCCGGGTAGCTTGCATTTATCACATAATGTCAGTGTGACATGCTATTAAAAAGGTAATAGCTAATGAATTTGATCCATAACAAAACCACTCAAAATTAATCTCCAGTTGCATCATAATTCTGTGCTATGAAATGGTGTGTTGCAAAGAGCAGGTGAGAAAAGGAGCTGTGAGGACTCAGCATCAGCTGGAAGGGTTTCACTGCTGGAATGCAGCCAGGCTCCACCACACGCAGACATCCTCTAGAATTTGGAAAAGAGCCGTAAAAGTCAAGTGACCCACATCCCGTGTAATGGCTGTGCGGTGGGGCTTCAGGTGATATTTGCAGACAGAAAAAGTAAACTATCCAGGAATCAGACCATTGAGTACTTGGACCAATTTGAGAAATCTTTGAGTTATTTATCAACTGCAACAGAAAATGAAAAGTAGCGTGGCACAGATAAAACGTTCTTCTGGTCACGACAGAAGGGAAAACCATAATTCATGTTAGAGGACCTCTTCTCCAGAAGACAGATATGTAAAATAAGAAAGATCCCCACGGGATAGAGATGACTTTGATTATAGCAGGTCAGACCTTGAGCATTCGAGAAGAGGACCTTCTCATGATGGTAGCATGGAGTCTCGAAATAGAGACCGAGAAAAACCCAGAGAAAGAGAAAGAAATGCAGATCGGAAAAGGCCACGGAAATCTCCATCTCCTGGGAGAAGCAGCCTAGAACCTTCAGTAACCCAGAGTTCCTCAGCTCGGGATGAACCTCCTGCAAAGAAGAGAAAAGAGGAGCTGGATCCTCTCCTTACTCGCACTGCAGGAGCATACGTTCCCCCTGCAAAGCTCAGGATGATGCAGGAGCAGATTCCAGATAAACACAGCTTAGCACACCAGAGGAGGAGCTGGGAGGCCCTGAAGAAGTCAATCAATGCTCTTATCAACAAAGTCAACATTTCCAATCTAAGTTTTATTATTCAAGAGCTTCTTCAAGAAAATATAATTGGAGGAAGAGGTCTGTTGTCCAGATCGATTTTACAAGCACAGAGCACATCTCCAATACTCACCCACGTCTATGTAGCAGTAGTGGCAATTCTCAACTCAAAATTTCCACAAATTGGCGAATTAATCCTCAGAAGGTTAATTTTTAATTTTCAAAAAGGATATCGAAGAAATGGGAAACAATTTTGCCTGACTGCTTCAAAATTTGTGGCACATCTTATTAACCAAAATGTGGCACATGAGGTGTTATGCTTAGAGATGCGCGCTTTGCTCCTGGAGAGACCAACAGCTGGTAGTGTTGAAGTAGCTATTGGTTTTCTCAGGGAATGTGGCCTCAAATTAACACAAGTGTCACCAAGAGGAATCAAGGCTACATTTGAACGCCTTGGAAACATTCCACATGAGTCTGAAATTGATCAAAGAGTTCAATATATGATTGAAGCCATGTTCACTGTATGGAAGGATGGATTTAAGGACCACCCCGTTATCTTAGGAGGAAGATGACCAGTTCACCCATATCCTCCCTTTGGAGGATGACTACAATCCAGAAGATGTTCTTAATGTTTTCCAGATGGATCCTAATTTTACAGAGAATGAAGAGAAGTACAAAGCTGTTAAGAAGGAAATTCTGGATGAAGGAGACAGTGACTCAGACACAGACCAAGATGCTGGAAGGAGTGAGGAAGAAGAGGAGGAGGAGGGAGAAGAAGAGGGAGAAGGACACACAGTGACTATTCCTGACAGAACAGACACGGATCTGGTCTCATTTCGTCGTACAGTTTATCTTGCTATTTGGTCAAGTTTAGATTCTGAAGAATGTACTCACAAATTGCTGAACATGGAATTCCTGGAAAGTCAAACCAAAGAACTCTGCAGCACGTTCCTTGATTGCTGTGCTCAACAAAGGACATATGGGAAATTTTTTGGCTTATTAGCTGGGAGATTTTGCATGCTCAAAAAAGAGTACACGGGATCCTTTGAAAGTATATTCCAAGAACAATATGATACCATCCATCGGTTGGAAACAAACAAACTGAGAAATGTCGCTGAGATGTTTGCTCACCTTTTGTACACGGATTCCCTTCCCTGGTCTGTTCTTGAATGTATAAAACTCAGTGAAGAAACCGCCACATCGTCCAGAAGAATTATGGTCAAAATATTTTTCCAGGAACTATGTGAATACATGGGTCTCCCTAACCTTCAAGCAAGGTTAAAGGATGAAACTCTACAGCCATTCTTGGAAGGACTATTACCCCAAGATAATCCAAGAAACAGTTTGCCATCGACTGCTTTTCAATAGGTCTTGGGGGTTTAACCAATGAATTGCATGAGCATCTTCAAAATACACCAAAGGTCATTGTGGCACAGGAACCAGATGTTGAGAAAAAAAAAATCCTCCCCATCTTCTTCCTCTTTCAGCGTCCTCTTCAGAGTCTGACTCCTCTGACTCTGACTCTGACCAGCAGCAAGAGCAGCTCAGAGTCTTCCAGTGAAGGGAGTGATTCTTCATCTACCAACAGTCACGGCTCTGCCTCATCTAAAGATCTAAGGAAGAAGAGACAAAGGAAGAGCAGAAGTAAAGAAGAAGATACATTGATCAGGAGCCAACAAACAAATGATAGAAAGCATGAAAAAAGAAGACTCCAACTCAGGCACCAGGAAACAAGGCCTCAGAGAGACAGACGGTCAGAGAAACAGAGATCAAAGTTCAGGAGATTCAAATGGGAGAGATCCTATAACGAAGCACATGTCTGACAGAAGTGTCCCCCTGAACGAAATACTGACAGTAGAGTTGTGCATGACAGAGATCAGGAAATGCACAGAGATTTGGAGACTAAGTGTGGTGATCACAGAAAGAAAAGAGGAGAGAAAAGGAATTCTTTTTTCTGGAAATGAGAAGCACAGACATTGAAATAAGGACAGTGAAAATTTTAGAAGAAGAGAGATCAAAGTCAAGGGAAGCAGGTAGAAGTGATGAAGATAGACATGAGAATGGTGCAGAGAGGCATTGGGAAAAATCCAGCAGATACGCTCGACATTCCAGAGAATCAAGGAAAAATCAGAATTGGCGAAGAGAAAAGCCTCCCACAAAGCAAAAACAATTCTACAGAATGACATAAACTGGGCATGCCTTATATTAGGTTGAAACAGATTATTTTTTACATTGATCAGTGAACTTTGTAGAGAATTCTTGTAGAAAGGACTGATTGGTATTTGTACATTTTAAAATGTTTTCTTTATAACTTGTTTTATAACTGATACATATCAGGGCCCTCCCCATAAACTTATTTGAAGAGAACAGTTTCACCAGAAAAGGATGTAAGTCTTGCTTATATTTTGTGAATAAAATGATCAAATACTCATTGAAAAAAAAAAAAGTAAAAGAAAAAAAAAAAAGCAGGTGAAGAGAGAAATATATCCGTCCAGGCTGTCATACCCTGACGGAGAGATGTTGCAGTAATGCCTTCTCACCATGGAGTGGCACTGTTTCACTGCAGACGTCCCACCGAACAGCCAGTGTTTTTGAAAAAAACAAAACAACTAAAGACATTCCTAAAAATTAAAATGTCTGCAGTATGAATCCATTGTTGCAGTTTATCATGCTGATATAAAAATGAACCACACTCCAGCACAAACACTTCGACCTGAGAAACCAAATATTCGAAGTATGTTCTAAATAAGTCAAGGGGACTGATTCTCTTGTTTGAACAAACCAGCTGCTGAACTCAAAGTTGTTTGCTCTGCTAAGCGGGGCCATATGGATGTTGAGTCCTGCTTGTTTTAAATTAGATTTAAACTTTAACTTTTAACATATGCTAAAAAATGGCTCAATTCCTAGATATAAATTTTTAAGTACATATGTACTCTAAAAAGAACACACCCAAGTCCTAGTTGCGCCTTAATATAAGATCAGAATAACAGGAATCTAATGAGAATGGTCTGTAACATGACAACACTGGAAAGGATGTGGACTGAGGCTTTGGGCTGGTGGCAAGTGAGACATTTCATGAGGAGAAAAGCACCATGAGACGACGTTTATCAGGAAGGAAAGGCCGTGCACTTCGAGTTGTGACAAACATAGATATGCTCCTTCCCCTTTTTACAGCTCAAGTGTTCCCCTCTTGCCCTGAACCCTCAGCACTTACCACACGTGTAATCGCCTGTTTGTTCTGCCAAGTCAGGGCTTCTCTCTCCCTACTCCATTGTCTTGTCAGCACCTGTCACGAGTCACATTAGGAAACCGTATCTCACACCCTTTGTAGGCACTCACATATATGCTGATTTCTTTGAACTTAAATTGTATTTCAGAATCTTTTTTGATAAGAGCTTTCAGTGATTTTCAACCCCTACGTATAGTCACAAAGGTCTCTCTTCTCCATCAGGTTTAAAGATAGGGTGACGAGCTGTCCTGTTTTGCCTGGGCCTGACCAGGTAACTCAGGATGTGGAATTGCCAGTTCTGAGAGCAGGCAAGTCCCCCGCAAACAGGGACGTGTTGGTCACCGTATTCAGAGTATAAACCCATAGAAAATCTCTCGAGAGGTAGATTAGCATTTTCAAGCTTTAGGACAAAATACAACCTGAGAGTGGGAGCCCAGTCCCAAAGAGTCGGGGGGCTAATGAAGATGGAAGCCACAGTTACGGCTGGAGTGGAGATTAGACTCCCTGACTGGAGGGGGAGCGCCCCAGCTCCCGGGCGCGGCACGATGCAGCCTTAAATGATGGTTGTTAAGCAGGAGGACGACCAGAGAGGTGAATAAAAATTCCTCATTACCCAGAAATGTGCTCTGTTAGCCTAATTGCCTCTCATTTGCACTGTATATATTTTATGCATGAACAACTTTCTGATTTAGAGATGGGGCTGATAAAAAGCTTTCAGTAAAATGGAAAAAATTACCCTTAAAGCCCTACTCGGATGGAGCTGCATTCAATTTAGAAAGATAACATTGGGTCAGATGGGGGTCGGCCAGATCGACAATAGTGAGAGGCTGGGACCGTGACAACCCAGGATCTGGATGTGGTGATGTGACAATGGAGAGTTGGCAGAAGCTTGGGCATTGCATGCCAGCCAAGTCCCCCAAGTCATCAATCTTGGTGACTAAAGCCGGAGATCAAAACACACGGAAGTAGCGAGTGGTCTCTCAAAAAAATTTATTATCGCTTTAGATAGAGTACAATAATATCCAGATTTGGCAGACGAAGAAGGTCTGTGTGTTCTTTTGGTGCAAACTTGAAACATTGGCTCATAAAGTAGGAAAGAGGATTGGAAAATAATCTAAGCCAGAACTGTTAAAAGCAGCTAGGAAATAAAAGATTTGGGGAAAATAATGATGCATCCCCATTTTTTTGGTGCAGAAGAATATGGCTCATTTGCAGTAATCTACAGTTTAGATCTTAAAACGAGCAAAACAACTTTCTGTTTCAAGTGCTGATGAGAAATCGAATGGAACAACTAACTGTACCATTTCTAGTAAGAAGTCCAGGGAGGGCCTGCTTTAATGAATAGGTAATAATTAGCACTTATTTTATTTATAAATAAGTGCTAATTTATTTGTAAATGGATACCTCTAATTTCTTTAAATGCTATTTGTCCTATAAACCTACCCAAGAAAGATGCGGCACCCGCGTGGAAACTAGTCCTTTTCCTAGCTTCCTCCCGCACCTCCTTGTTTCCCATTGGTCAGCTATTCACGCATTTACTCATTCAGTATTTATTGAACACCTACTAGGAAATAAGCTAAGTGAGGGGACAGAAAGACTAATAGGATCTAGTCTTCATCCCTGATTCACTCTCAAGGTGGGGACATGGTCTCCTGAAGACAGGAGATGGGCATAAATGATCAGGGCCTCCCTATGTGCATGTCTCAGAGGGAGGTCAGAGCCACTTTCTGGTTCAGTCATATAAACTGAGGGTATTTTTCCCCCAAATTTGAGAGCTATAACTCTAAA